CAATCCCTCTCTAGTTATTACTTTATTAAGTTCTGTTATATTCCTTTCCCCTTTTTCTTTTTTTGTGGGGTGAGATTTATCCAGTTTTCTATCCATAACTCCATTGAAGTCCCCTCCTAAAATTACATACCCCTTTTTAATTTCTTCTAACTCTTTAAAAATCAATTCATAAAATTCCTTCTGTTTTGTATTTGGTGCATAAATATTAACCAAAGTATAATCCTCCCCTCCCATAGACCCCTGAATCATCACATATCTTCCCATTTCATCTTTTTTTGTTTGTACCATGCTAAATCCACTACTATTCTTAATTATAATTGCTACTCCTTTTGCTTTCGAAGTGCCCATAGCTTTTTCATATATTATAGTCCCCTTTAATTTCAGTTGATTTAAACCTTCTCGTGATTGATGAGTTTCTTGCAAGAAAAATATGTCCCCCTTAGCTTTAAGAATCTGATTTGTAATCCTCCTCCTTTTTTGACATGATCCAAGCCCGCGACAGTTCCATGACATCAGTTTAACTCGATCCAGCATTTGTTCTCATTTTTCTATTTCTTTGTTGGTCCTTGTTAAGAGAATCACCCCAATGTGCTAACCCCCTCCCCTCCCGCCCTTTCTCTCCCCTCCATCCCAAATATCCCTCCCCCTCCTTTCTTCCCCAAACTTCCCCTCTCCCACCGAGCCTTGGAACTTTTTGTCCAAGGTGTGGCTTAATCATAGCCTTTCGGTGGGGGGAGGGGTGGATCCACCCACTCCCGACCAGCAGCCAAACCATAACCTCCTAAGGATTCTATATTTAATTTTTATTCTTCTCTCCAATATATTTATTTTTGTTTCAAAAATATACCTTATTCAGTATAAAGGGTGAAAAAAAATTATCTGTCTCCATAACCACAAGTTCTAATAAAGAAACTGAGAAGAGGGGGGAGATGGGCAGGAAAGGTATATAAAAGGAAGGGGTGGTGTGAAAAAGTCACTTGTGTCTTTGCTGCAGAGATACATGCAATATATCCATTTCAAAGCAAAACCAGCTTGTGAGTGGTCATTTAATATTGCTATATAGATCCTACAGTCTTACAAACCGTGACAATGGTTCTTTCAAGTTAAGGAAATGTTTGCAACCTTCTTTATGTTAAGAAGGAAGTCAACATAAGATCAACACCAATCAAGAAGAATCAACATCTGGTCAGGAAACTGAGATGGAGCCAAGATGGAAGATGTCTATCATTAATTTACAACTTTGGGATGACATCAGCAGAATATTCCTATAAAAGACTCAGTCTAATAATGCTCAAAGTGTGACAGACCTGAGGAGTCTGTTCCCTCCGCCATGCTCTACTCCATGGGAAAGAGAGAGATGGTGTATTCGGAGAGTCTCAGATCTGCTATGGGAAAGCATGATTCTGGTCACCTTGGGACTTCTTTCTCAAGGGAAGAGGAAGAAGGAAGGCGCTTTTGGAGTCTTGGATTTTGTGCAGGGAGTCAGGTTCTGCTGTATGGAAAACAGAGATCTGGTCCTTGGCATTGTTCTTAGGGAAAGAAGTTTTGGCATTTTGGCGTTCTGAAGTTATGGCGTTATGGAAGTTATGGAACTATGCATTGGCAGGCTGCAGGAAATCAGGATCTGGCCTAAGAGGTGCTATTCCAAGGAGGGAAAAAAGGATATGGTAATATTTTGGATGTATGTGGATGAATGCGTATACATGCGTGTGAATGTTGAGTGAAAATGTAATTCCCCTTCGTTTGTTTGTTTGTTGACCAATGTAATTGTGAATCCAATGTAGTTGCATAGAATCTGTATGTCTGTATGTCCAATGTCGTTCTTGGTCTAAATGTTTTTCTGTAATCTGATCTACCCTCTCACACTGGACATTGCAATAAAAAGAACCTATGCTTCAAAGTTATTGAAAAGTCATTCATGACATAAACCCAATTGAAATGTGAGCCCGAGCGCGGCAGGGAGCCCCGCCTTCACATTGGTGTGAGTTGCGGCGGAGAGTTCCGCAGTTCCTGGACCAAGCTTTTGAGGCCAACAGATGGAATGCGCCCCAGCCGCTAGCTCAAAGACCAGGAATGCCTGCAGTTTCGACTAGCCTTCCCCTTCCCTTTACCTTGTATCTTTCCCCTAATAAAGTACTTGAAACCTGCAACTTTTTATCTTTCCGCATGTTACTTTTGTATCCTTTCTTGACTCTAACTCAATAGCATTGCAATCGAAAACACCTAAGATGGCGGATCGCCGCCGTTCCAATTT